GGATGTGTTCCAATGCTGTTTTTATAGTTTATTACTGAATTAGTGAGAAAATAAAAAAGAAATAAAAAAAAGAAAATAAAAAAGAAATGCAAGTCAAAAATCCAACATACTCACAATCACATTGCACTCGTGCACAGTGAGACTGAGCCTCTGAGGCACTCAGCTTGAAGTTGCAACGAGACGATTGCGGTTTGAATTTGATTGCATCGCATTTAAACGAATGGACAGGATCACAGTTGACAACTTGACACTGGACTGTTTGGAGACGCACATAGCATAGGTAGGCTACATGATACATGTGATCTACGCTACCTACGTCAATTTGACTTTAACCTTACCAAAGTAACTAAACCATTACTCAGTACTGCAATCACGATTTCATCACCTTAAAAACAGCCGGACAGGAATTTCATATTGTTAAAAAGGTGATTATTATGAATATTATTATTAGAATACCTACATTGGATTGGAGAGCCGTTATGTTATGACGACCACCGTCCACCGGCGCTGAGTAACAATTGAGAACTCGTCAAGCCCTTCTCGGGCACAGGAACTGACCCTGACGAATGACGTGTGAAACTGTGAAGTGTGAACCTCTACCTCTTTCCCGCGATGAGCACAGCAGAAATTTGAATTCTCGCAGGGACGTCATAACCTATCCGTAATTATGGTTAAAGAAAATTTTTCATTCAAAAGTGAAATGCTTCCTTCTTTTGAAACTAGAACCACCGGCATTTTTAGTTTCCTGATGAAAGACTGGCATTAACAAACGGACAAAATTGAGCGAAATATTGATGAAAAAACTGGTCGAATAATAACATACTTAACTAGCAGGTTACGATGCGTTGATTGGGATTGATCATTGCGATTAAACAATCTCGTTCCCGTAATCAAAACAGGATAATAGAATTCATGTTAAAAAATCGTGAGATGTGTATAAGAGACAGTTCGTAGTCTACACCCCAAAAAACATATAATTAAAAAAAAAAACACCCTTTTTTTTGGATGTAGTTAATCTGCAATAATACCTAAATAGCATTTGGACAGTCAGTGTTGAATTTATATAGGTAATGTATTCTCATGTTTACATAAAAAAATGTATTGAAATGTCTACCATGTTAATGATGTTACTGATGTTACATGTTAGTACCGTAAAATGGGGTAACTTTGACCGGCGGGGTAACTTTGACCACTTTTTGTTTTTTTAACAAAAACCCCCACAACTCAAAAACTATTTGACATAGAAAAATTTTGTCAATGGGCATTAAAGGCCTAATACTGAATGTTGACATGCTGAGGTGGGGGTGTTGACATGCTGAGGTTGGGGTGTTGACATGCTGAGGTGGGGGTGTTGACACGCTTGTTGTTTGCTTTGTTATTACGTATGCTTCAACACCAACACGTCTATCCGCGAACACCACCACAAAGTGAAAATATTTTAAAGATTGTGCCCAGATTGCTGAGGATTTCCATATCGGTTCTTAATTAAATATATGAAGAGAACATTAACAACTCACATGGAGGTGATTCAGGTAGATTATCATAACACGCCGCGCGTATCAAACAAGAGCTCTACTGTTTAAAGATAAATTCTTCTCCAGGGATTTGCAAAAAAATGTGTCAATAGTTGAATTATACTGAGGGTAGCGCGTCTCGGTATACTTTCTAATGCAGTGGCGTGCTGAATAAATTAAATGTAATCACATGGATAACTGGTCATGATTCTAGCCTCAAGAAGGCTCAATAGAGTGGAAGTGTTGAATAATAACTCCATTTATATGCTCCATTAGAGGCTCAGAGCTCCTCGTGGCTTACGTTATGGTGTACAAAGCGCCCTTTGAGCCAGAGACTTCAGGTTATGTTTCACCATTACAAAGAGAATAGCTGAGTTATGATGGGACAATATAACATCCTGAAAATCTCAGGCTGGTTGTTGCTTGCCTGTTACTAACTTATTATGCCTGTTATTAACTGTTATCATTGTTTATTGCGGCTTGTTGTCACCATTTCTTTATCCACCAGCCTGCCTTGGATCGCTGCTTCTGGTGAGCCCAGCACCTACCCCGTGACAGGCTAAACCTTCCCCCAGCACCTACCCCGTGACAGGCTAAACCTTACCCCAACACCTACCCCGTGACAGGCTAAACCTTCCCCCAGCACCTACCCCCGTGACAGGCTAAACCTTCCCCCA